CCTGGGCCCAGGTGGACAAATTGGCAGCCTGCTCACGGCTTTTTTTTTCTTCTCCCCTTTGTATCATAAGAACTGCTAATCGGATCCATGCTGCTGCAACTGTGGTTAGTTATTAACAGAATAAAAGCAGATTTCTTCAAAAGAACGGGTGGGGGAAACGACTATACAAAATTGCAAGGTTGTTAGAATCGTAAATGCACAGCAGTCGATTTCCTCCGTATTCTGAATTACACGATGAATACTAGTCTTTCATCTGTCACTATACTCATTTCTTCAGAAGGCAGCCAAATATTAAGCTTCTCAAACAAAAAGAGCATCTTAGAAAGAGGAAAAATATTGAGGAGGAATAAGAATGGGTACAAGAAGGGGAAATTAGGCTTTGTTTTTATTAATTTGTCCTGGTGAGAGAAATATAAACTGCCTGCTCTCTGGTTTCCCCTTGGCTGCCTCTGACCTTACATCAAAGCGAGGATTAGAGCAGACCTAGAGAGGCTGCCTGCTCTTTGAGTCGGGTTCACAGCCCACCACTGTTTAAACAGATCGCAGGGAGCTATCATTGCCCTCCCCGCCACAGCCCCGAAGACCTTTGAATTGTAAACCAGGCATACCAAAGCTATCAAAAGGGTACATTTCTATAACAATATCCGGCGTGCAGCTCCCTGAGTCTCTGACACTCTCAAGGCTACTTTCCAGATCCCAAGTCCCAAAATAGAAGTGGCTCTGCTTTCAGCCACGCCACACCTGGCCTGCATTACTGTCCCGTCTCCATGACTGTAGTTAGGTGAAGCAACTTGCAAAAGTCATCTATTCTATTTTTTAACAAAACCACACACACATGCACACACACACACACACACACACACACACACACACAGTACTTACTCCTTTGCCAACATTCAGCATTACTGGGAGGCAAGGAAAGGAATGCAGAATCATTAGAGCCGCAGGGCTCATTCCGGCCAGCCTAGGAGGGCACAGTGGAAAGTAGGCCTCAGAGCCAGCTCCCCCTGCATTCCAGTACCCCTAGCAATCTTCCTCACTAAGAATGCTTTAGCAAAATGCTGTGTACTTGGTTTGGGGCTCTGGTTTACCTTTAATGAAAGCTTGTAGTAACCTAAAAAGTCAAGTCTGTTTTGCCTTACAGTCTCTGACTTGTCATTTCGTCTAGTCCTTTTAGTCCCCTCTTTGTTCTCTTTTGTCCCAAATCAGGTGATATAGGAAAAACTGCGAAGTGGGAATGAATGGATTTTTAGCACTGAAGTGGTGTCTGTCATTCTGAGTGCAACGGTTGATTGCCTCCATATTCCAGTTTGGATAATCAAATCCACCTTAGGTTAATTGATTAAAAAAAAACTTAACTATGAAACAAGGAAGTATTTTTTCCTATGGCTTCTGCAACTTTTGAAAAAGTTGGGTGAGTATAGCTCCCACAGTGTTTCTTGAATCGGATATATGGTTTGTTTGGCAGAGACTTATAGTTAGTGAGGTATACGTTTTTGTTATTTGCGGTAGTGGGGAACTAAGGAATTAACCTGAGGCATTTTAGCCTCAGAAGAGTTAACAAGGGAACTGGTCCTTGTGAGTTTATTCTATGCCATCCTAACAAACAGTTGCAGTCTATGATTGCATCTTACCAGCAATTTTTATTTGTTTGTTTGGGTGTGACCAAAAAGATTTGGGGAAATAACAGTATAGGTACTCACCTACAGTTTACCCATTGAGTGTGTTTGCTATTTAAGTCTTGAGCCTCTGCTTGCATTCATTGCTAAGGAATACAGTTCATCCATTCTAGGTCTGTGTTGGAGGGGACTATAACTAAGTTGTGCTGCTGACATTTGTTTTTGCAAACTTCCTTGTTAAATATGATGGGTCAGGCTTATGTGTCATTGCTATTATTGCACACCACTTCCTGCTCATTGGCCTTTGAGCAAGTGTTCCTGAATGTTCTTAATGATGTCATCATTCTTTTTTTTTTTTTTGTCGGTCGTGGGGCTTGAACTCTGGGCCTGGGCGCTGTCCCTCAGCTCTTCAGCTCAAGGCGAACGCTCTACCACTTGAGCTACAGCGCCACTTCCGGTTTTCTGGTGGTTTATTGGAGATAGGAGTCTCACGGTCTCTCCTGCCCGGGCTGGCTTTGAACCGCGATCCTCAGATCTCAGCCTCCTGAGTAGCTAGGATTACAGGCGTGAGCCACCAACGCCTGGCTTGATGTCATCATTCTTAACAGAGGTGAGAACACTATACCTCTGACACAAATCCAGATCATGTCCTCTTTGGGTAGAGAGGTGTCCTACAGCTTAATACTTGCTTCACATATGACATAGATGAGGCATGCACAGAAGCATGCAGTCGTTGGTTATACTGTGGTGAGTGTGAGTCCAGTGGGACAGGCACACATGGTGATTACCATGTGGCACTTAGGCTCACCCTGCATCGGACTCCACGGTAACCCTTTTAATAGTCTATGTTTGGCAGTAGATTCTTTACATCTCTGAATGGAAGTAGATGAGGGCCATGGGATATTTCATTTCAGAGGAAGTGCATGACATATAGTGAACACCAGACGTTGTAGTTCTGTAGCCAAGGCGCAATGACCAGTATTTTCCCTTGAAATGATTCTAGTCCAGAACATTCAATGTTTTTGCCTTACATTTGATTATTTGGGACTAACAGTAGTTTGCTGTTTGGTAGGAATTTTATCCTGCTAGTTGTGCAGCTCATTGGATGGTTCACAGCTTTTCTCAATGTCTGTGAATTCAGGTCTTTATACTTTGCATGTGACTGGGAGTGCAGCAACAAATGCATAAGTTTTAGTTTCTCTGAAAAGTAAGATTCCTGCCAGGAGCTGCTGGCTTACACCTGTAATCCTAGCTACTGAAGAGACGGAGCTCTGAGAATTGTGGTTCAAAGCCAGCCCAGGCAGGAAAGTCCAAGAGAGGTTTATCTCCAAGTCCCCACCAAAAAAACGGGAAATGGTGCTGTGACTCAAAGTGGTAGAGTGCTAGCCTTGAGCAAAAGAGCTCATGGACCACACCCATGCCGAGTTCAAACCCCATGAAGGACCCCCCCAAAAAAAAAGCGAAATTCCTAAACTCCTCCCCCCTCAAACAATATGAGTATCATTTTGTAGTAATATTTTCTTTTTTTTCTTTTTTTGTCGGTCGTGGGGCTTGAACTCTGGGCTTGGGCGCTGTCCCTCAGCTCTTCAGCTCAAGGCAAGCACTCTATCACTTGAGTTACAGCGCCACATCCGGTTTTCTGGTGGTTTATTGGAGATAGGACTCTCACAGTCTCTCCTGCCCGGGCTGGCTTTGAACCACGATCCTCAGATCTCAGCCTCCTGAGTAGCTAGGATTACAGGCATGAGCCACCAGCGCCCAGCTGTAGTAATATTTTCACAGCTATTTACATCTAGTACCTAAACTGAAAATCATCTGCCTACCTCTGTCTTCTCTGTCTGTCACAGATAGAACAATTATTAGACTTTATCATGAGCGGCAGTCACAGGAAGCCTCCACAACCAAGATGCAGTATCAGTGTCTGTCCTCATAAATGCCTGGTTTTGTACCTGGTGTGTCTTGACCTCCACTGAGCAGAATTGGTGGCAAACTTCAGGGCATTCATTTCCTTCTGTACTCAGTTATGATTCTTCTCTGCAATGTATTTAACTATGGGAGAGTAAATCCTACAGGAGCAAAACAGTTTTATTGTTATGTCTGTGGTACAGAAGGTAAGGGGAGAGGTGTGTGTGTGTTGTGTGTGTGTGTGAGTATGTGTATGTGCGCTTCCCATTTATTATAGCAAAAGGAGGAGGTAAAAGACAAAGGAGCAAGGTCTTCCTGCCATGAGAGATAGTACCTTTTGGACTATGCCGAATTCAACATTTTTTGTTATTCTGTGTTTAGTCCCAAAAATGTATCTAAACTTCTATGCCAGAAAGTAAGTTGAGATGATCAGCCACCTCTGATGATTCCTACATTTCAAAATCCTGTCTCCTGCCTTCACATGACTCATAGTCCCTTCTATCAATAAAACAAGTGTCCTTTCTTTTCATTCATATTCTGAGCTAATGATTTATTTTTCTTATATATTCATCATGCTAAGGTGGAGGGATTAAAGGAATGAAAAACATGATACCAGTCTCAAAGCTTACATTACACATGGAAAGGATTAACTGAACCAATGTTAAATAAATGGTAATTAAATAGATGTCCTTATATGCACCAGGGATCAGAAGACCTCTTGTTTAGTGACTGTATATACTATATTTCAGAGGACTGTGTTTTGTTTCTCAGTAGAGGCCTTCTCCATTTAGGTTGAATTTTTGACTATTATGAAGACTTTTTTTTAGCCATTTACTGTTACTGTTCTATTGATTGGCTATTACCATGAGAAACTGTAAGCTGGAGATCATTGTAGGCTTCATGGGCTGTATGGATCAGCATGGTTGGATTTGTTAAATATTAAATGTTTGTCAGGAAATTTCATCTACAATTTTATTTGTCCACAAGTTTGGAACTCATTCAATGAAAAATAACTGAACTTTCAACAAGTCTCTTGATAAATGTGTTTGTCATGTGTCCTAACAGGTAAAACAGATAAAATATGATACCTTTTTGAGTTTTGTATGTTTTTCATGTATATCTATGCCTTTTTTTTCTTTTTTGTTAATTGTGGGCCTTGAACTCAGGGCCTTGGCGCTGTCCCTGAGCCTGTCTGTGCTCAAGGCTGGCCCTCTACCACTTAAACCAACAGTACCACTTCTGGTTTTTGAGATAAGCGTCTCACAGGGACTTTTTTTGCTTGGGCTGGCTTCAAACTTCGATTCTCAGATCTCAGCCTCCTGAGTAACTAGGATTACAGGTGTGAGCCACTAGCACCCGGCTATCTATGCCTTCTCTGATGATAAAACTGAAATGTCACTGAGTCTTGGTTTTGCGCTGTTGCAGTACTAATGCAAAGGGTTTTCCCATCCCCATTTCCCCTCCTGTGTTTTATAGGCAGTCAGATGCCACCTCAGCCACCTGGGAGCCAGTCTGAATCCAGTTCCCACCCTGCCTTGAGTCAGTCACCAATGCCACAGGAAAGAGGTGAGTCTTCAGTTTCCATCCTGCCTACCCACTGTGCATTGAGTGTACAAGACTTACTGAAGTGTGCTTGCCCGTTTCCTTGTATATTTTTTAAAAGGATACTACATCTCCTTATCAGATAATCTCAATCTACATGTACAGAGCACCAAGTACAGAGAAGGAAGGATTCTTTCTTGCAGATTTGATGATGCTACCAAAGTGGAATTTAAGGCCCAAAGAATATATTTGTCCACATATACATATCACTATACAGTGTACACTGTACATGACTATAGTCCAATGTTAGATAGCTTTGCGAAAGAGCTGTGGACTATTCCAGCTGGACATCAGCCTAATGAAGCAAAATATTTAGAGAGAGAGAGGAGAGAGAGAATACTCATGCATACTTTTGACCAATCACTTGTTCTGTGATATTTAGTAGTAAAATTTGAAGTTCATAGCAAGACCTTATTATACACTATTGTAAGCTCTTTGAAATGGACGAGACCTGAAAAAAAAAGTCACATCGTTCAACCATTTCAGTTAGCAAATACAAAAACTAAGGACTGCAGCGACTAATGATTTCCTCATTCCCAGAAGTTAGTTTTAACCCAGGAATGGATTTGGATGTTGCTTTAGCCTTAAAATGTGTTTGGCAGTTTTTTGAAGTTTTATTGGTTGGGTTGGTTTGGTTTTGGCTTTGTGGGAGGGGTTTTGGAGATTTATCAGATAGCTATAACTTTATATGAAGTTAATCATTCAGTTATACATAGCATTTGATTATGTCTATTATGATAGCATTTGTGGTATTTTATTGAAATTAGAGTTGTAAAATTAGTTTGTTTTGCAATAAGAAAGAAATCACCAGGAAACAAGGCAGGAAGTAATGGGAAAAGAACATCATTTCCAATAAAAGATGAAATGCAGGCTGGGAAGGTGGCTCAGTGGTAGAGCGCTTGCCTTGCATGCCTGAGACCCTGGGTTCGATTCCTCAGCACCACCTAAGCAGAAAAAGTGGCGTTGTGGCTCAAGCGGTAGAGTGCTAGCCTTGAGTTGAATAGCTGAGAGACAGCACCCAGACCCAGAGTTGAGGCCCATGACCGACAAAATAAATACATAAAATACATAAAAAATGAGATGCATTTCATTTGTTTTTAACAGGACAACTATTTAATTCCTCATTTTATTCCCTGTCTCCAACCTTGCTACAGTCACGCTGTGTTGTACACTTCACCTTCGCCTAGCCATCTCCTTTTTTTTTGCCTTTAGTGGGAAAGCTGGTGGGGGGGGAGGATTTTAATTCAGATTGCTGAGACTAGGGCTAACTGTGCCGTCTGGTGCTGTCGGGTCACATCACCCCTTGTGAAGGTCATAGCTTGTCCACTGCCTCTCCCTTTGTCAAGAGACATTGCATCCCCGCCATGGGCCAAGAGAACAAAAGTTGTGTGTCTGTAGTTGATATTTAAAGACTTCCTGATGGCTGACATTTCTAATTCTATGTGAGTTACAGAAATGTATGGTTTAAGTTATTTTCTGTAGGGACTTGGCAGCATGTTATTTAGAAAGCATTGACAATGAAAAGATAGATTAGTCTTTATCTACACATCACTTGTGTTCAAATGACTATTTAGTAAAGAGAAAATGAATTCTTCATTTTCTGATTGATAAAGTTATTATATGATTTTGTATTGTTACCTAAGGTATAGTTAGCATTTTAACGTCTTTTGTGTTGACAGTGTGATGTGTTTTAATAGCTTCAAGACTTCTTGGTGCCTGAGAGTCACATGTAGGACTTACTACCTTGCTGGGCCCACCCTGGGTCCCTGGTCGAAGGTTGGGTGGACCTTTGTCTGCTTTGTAGCCAGGTTCTCAGGGGTTGCCGCAGCTGCTGGGTGGTGGGCAGCCCAAGGAGCACGCTTGGAGGCCTGCTCCGTGGCTTCCTTGCTCCAACAGGCCTCAGGAAAGGGGGGGGGGGGGGCTGTGCTTCCCTCAGTCTGCCGCCCTGTGGCCTTGCAGGCGTAGCTCTAGCCAGGGGTGTGTGCGCTGCTTGTCTGCGCTGGCTCCTGCGGCTCCCGCTGTCCTGAAGACTAGGCCGAGCTTCACGAGAGAGCACACCGCCCGCACAAGTAACTCCTGCCACTGGGCTTCTTTAGCCCTGGGTTGCATCTTCAGGCCTTTGAGGTGTCAGGGAGATGGAGCTACAAGGACACTCCCACATGGAGGACCTTTGGGTCCCGGCCTAGCACTCACTTGGAGAAAGCTGTCCTATTGGAAGCCCTGCACTGCTAACGTCGCACTAAGATGATGAAAGAGAACCTTCCGACCCTGGCAGCTAACTGGCAGGGGCTACAGTGTGAGACTGAGCCAGGGGCGCATCTACAATCCGCTCCTCTGGAGCCTGAGGGTGAGGATCTGAAGGCAGCTCAGGCCAGAAAGGCCATGAGATTCTTGAGTCAACCACCAAAAAGCTGGCAGTGAAGCTGTGGTTCATGTGGTAAAGTGCTAGTCTTGAGCAGAAAAGCTCAGGAACAGTGCCCAGGCCTTGAGTTCAAGCCCCAGGACCAGCAAAAGATAAGTGGAGGGGAAGGGAGAAGAGAGGAGGGAAGAAGGGACAAGACAAAAATGAGAAAAATGACCTAAATTAAACTTTGAAACTAAGACACTTTCTAGGCAAAATCTAGGCATTTCCATCAAGGTTCTTAGTTTGGTTTTTGTTGTTGTTTTTTGGGGGGGGTCTGGTCGTGGGGCCTGAACTCTGGGCCTGGGCGCTGTCCCTCAGCTCTTCAGCTCAAGGCTAGCGCTCTACCACTTGAGCCACAGCGCCACTTCTGGCTTTTATCTTTTTGCTTAGGTGGTGCTGAGGAATTGAACCCAGGGCCTCATGCATGCAAGGCAAACACTCTACCACTGAGCCACCTTCCCAGCCCCCTTAGTTTTGTTTTTTTTTTTTCCTTCTGATTGCCTTTATTAGAATGTAATGTAATATGTTGGTATCTCCTAAGAACTCCATAGCAGTCCAGATGTGTATACTCTTGCCCTGCCAACCCTTCCCTCCTGCTTGGCCCTCCTGTGCTCAGGAAGGAGCATGGAAAGCTACTTGGGCTACTTCCTGCTGGCTTCCACCAGGCAGCGTGGACCCCACCAGTAAGTAGCCCTCCACGCCTTACTCTCCCTTTGCCTAATGATTGTAGTATTACGTTTGTCAAAGGACATTTGTCTGTTTCCCCACATTGTATACAGATGGAAGTAACCTTTGAGTTTCTACCGTTTTATGTCTTCTTCCTGAAGAAAGTGTTTGTATGGATAAATACAGCTATATCTTTATAGGTTACAAAAGGAGATACCCTTCCAATACGTACTGGCCATTTTATTTTCTCCTGTGGTGCTGTCTCTTCCCTGTCCTCATTCATTCCACACCAGGGTGAACTCCGCTTCATTTTTCACTGCTGCAGCTCCTGCTAACCCGGGAAGGAAATTCATTCCCCTTCTTTCTTCCTAACTACTCCATGACTGATACACAACGTAAAGAACAGAAGGTCAGAACTTCAGTATTACTCAACTTTTTGCCACTGTCACAGATATCTGGCACAGTTGAAGGGCATATCTTCACTCCCAGGTTTCAGACAGAGGTGGGCTGACCCCCAAGCATTGTGCTAGGGACAACCACTCAGGACAGTCAGGAACCAGGAAGTCCTAAAGGAAGAGACCAGAGCAAGAAAACCCCTTCAAAGGCTACCTACCGGGACCTCTCACCCCTGGTTTCCATCACCTCCCAACAGTGCCATCGCTTATTAAACCATCAGTGGGTTAATCCATTGATTATATCAGAGCCTTTTTGATCCAATTACTTCTCAGTGATTTTTAGCTACCATCTGCCATAAGTATTTGATATGTAAATTTGTATGTACATTTGTAAATATGTAAATACACCAGCCACAATGTGAAAAATACGCTATTAGTTTCGGGGCTTTGGTTTAGGGTTTTTTGATAGTTCTGGGGTTGAACTCAGGATCTTGAGCTTGCTAAGTGAGCATTGAGCATTGCATAGCTCTCTTTGCTTTAGTAATTTTTTTCAGGTAGAGTTTCACATTTCTGTCTGGAACTAGCTTTCCTGGGGGAGGAACGGCAGCTTTAGATTTACTGCTGTCTCCACCACCATACCCTACTTGTGTTTTGAAATATGTTCTCCCAACTTTTTGCCAAGGCTGGCCTCGAACTACAATCCTATTTCTGCCTCCCATATAGTTTGTTTTTATTTTAAACCAATTCTTCATTCTGTAGACCTTATAAACTATCATATTCATCTCACCAAAACAAAACAAAAAACCCTGAAATAGCATAAATTCAGCTATCAAAGCATTGGGATAACAATAAGCCTTCTTTCAACATTTCACATACTTGCTAATCAATAAACCAGAAGGGCATTTGCTAGTTTCATTAAGCTTAACATGTTACAGGGGTTGAAAATGTGATCACTTTAGCATTACAATTATTATACTTATTTACCTACTCAGAACATCATTCCATATTGCCGCCATACCTTATTGGGGGGACAAAGAACACTAGAGCAAAACTAGAGGATTCATCCTTGTGTTTTGTGTTTAGTTTGTGGTACTGAGGTTTTAAATTCAGGACTGTGAGACAAATGCTCTTAACATTGAACTGTGTCCCCAGCCCTTTTTCCCAGTTATTTTTGAGATCTGCTCTGCTCTTTTGCCAAGATACCCCCTGGATCGTGATCCTCTTACTGTGTGCTTCCTATCCCAGCTGGGATGACAGGTAGAGAATACCACACCCAGCGTCTTCCACCTAGTCGGAATCTGAGAAACTGCTGGCTGAGAAACTTGCCCAGGCTGGTTTGGGCCTGTGGTTCCCTGCATCTGATCCTTCTGTGCAGTTTAGAAGGACAGATGCGCATCACCATGTCCACTTGGTTGAGAAGGTCTTAAGAACTTTCTCCTCGGGCTGGGAAGGTGGCTCAGTGGTAGAGCTCTTGCCTTGTATGCATGAGGCCCTGGGTT